AGAGATACTTTCTTCTGAGTGCCGAAAGTGGTAAAAAGTGGTTCATATGTTTCAATTTTTAAAAACTACGCTTTAAAAACAATAAGAACCAATAAGATTTGTCTATACCAGTCTAAACCAGTCCTTCGACTGACAGCACTGTGGATCAGAAGTTATGAATTTGTTTCATCTTGTCTCTGTTTTTGACTAGAGAGATCTTGAAGTCTAATGGAATAACACCATTATCACTTGCAAGCGATGCTCTCAAAAATTAGTATTATATGTGAGCATCAATAAATCGTCTTTATTTTCCTGAATTTATGGATTCATTCGTACGATAAGGAATGTGGAAAAAGCCTTTGGGTAGAACATAGCGTTTACACTGATTCTCATACCTATTCTCATATCAATTCTATGATTTGTATTAATATTTATGTACATTTGTATGTATGTACATATGTGCAAAGTGATAAGAGTATTTTAGCAAGCGAGGGTTGAGCCTATTTTTAACATTATCAGAAAGCAATCTGTTTTGCAATTATAATGTTTTCGAGCACGATATTCCTTTGAAATATTACGCAATTTTTTCCTAAAATCCTTGCGACTTATAGTCTCCTGCAAACCATTCGAAATCTGTTGAAATTCCATAAAAATCCCAACTTCATTAAAAATAATAAAAATATAAAACTTACATTAACCAGCGTGGCCTGGCCCCTTGCCCCTATTCGTCAATTGACAGCTAGAGAATTTAATACTGTTGAAATAGTGAGGTGAAACAATCAAGTTTTGTGCTGATTTCCCCATGATAATGCATTGAATTTATCTGGATGAATACTTGAACTGTTTTTCCATTAGCAATGATCGCGCCCACCCACCCAATACAGTTTCACCATAGATGTATATATGTAATGTTAGCCTGATGAACCCAATTTGTTATGCAAGGCCAGAGCAGGAGAGCAGTGCAGTGCTCAAGCAGGGCATGAAGTGACCCTGATCCCCTCCTAGTGAGTCTGCTGCTTCATGGATGTGCTGTGCTCTTGCTCAAAGAATCACAAATCTCTAAGAATTCTTGTGCTTCTTTTATTATTTGAAATACTTTCTAAGTCAACGACAGCATTTTAAATTGTATCTAGTACTCTCACACACACACACACACACATGTGTGCACATCCACACGCATACACACATTCACACAGATACATTGTCATCCGCGCTCTGCGAAAAATTTTGCTGAAACTCTTCAAATTCTGCTTCTTCAGCATGTTCTTGTTCTTCTGCTAGTTTTCTGTGTATCTCTGTAAGTGTGTGTGACTGTGTGTTCTATTCCATTCTCGTCCGCAAATATTCTCACAAATATTCCCTCCACCCAACCCCTCCCATGGCCCCTCCACACCCATCCCACTTACACCCCCCATGACTGCTGGGTAGGTTCGTGCGGTGTATAAATTTTCTGTGGAACTGTACAATAGCTAAAATAATCATAAAAAAAAAGAAAAAGAAATAACAAAGTTTTTAAGTCCGTGTGTATGTGTGTGTGAGTCGGTTCGGCTCGGAGGTAAACCAACAAAAGCAGTGCACACAGATATGTACATGCATACATACATACATACATACATATTTATATGTATGTACGTATGCATCTGTACATGTAGCTTTGCATGAATATGTGGGATAGTAAGTGTAAGTAGCGTGTATTTGCTTTTCTTGTCGACTGCTTCTTCTTCTTTTGCTTGCTCTTACTGCTTTTGTTGTTTCTGTCGTTCTCTTTAATAGTCGTAGAGTCGTTCGCTGTCGTCGGCTCTCTGCTACGGCGGCTCGTCGTGGGGTTGGTGGGCTGCTGCTGCTGCGCCGCTGCCGCCACTACGACTGCGGCTGCGGCTTTGACTTCAACACTCGGTATCTCTATCTCTCTCTCTTGCTTTTTGAATCTAAAGTTTCGTTCTACCCTTTCCAGAGAATATTATGACTTTGAGCAAATGTTTGCCACGGAGAGAAGGAAGCACATGCGATGCTTTCCTGTTTAAACTTTAAAGTTTAAAGCCACACACAGCAATTTTGCAAATACTAATATATGTATATATGTTTATTATCTATGCATCTATCTATGTACATATGTATTTACATGCATATTTAATATTTTTGTCAATAACTCTCCAAAAGTTAATACGAATCTCCCAGAGAAACGATTGACCTGCAAAGGGCATTAAAAGCTTCGACCTCCAAAGCTAAACATTTTTGTTGCTTTTTATTTTTTTCTGGAAAATTGAAGCAGTAGCAAAATATCTCGAGTTTCTTGACTTTTCTGTTGTGCTACCTCCTCTCTCCATAACCTGCTGTGGTTCTCTTTCTGCTGGGCTTTTCCTCTCTTGCCTACGCACTGGCCTCTCTATCTCTCCTTCTCTCATAAGTCATGCATTTTCTTACCTCTTGTGGTTGTTGCTGTCTTTGTTTTTGGTGTATTTTTTCATACATACATAGATATGTGTAAAACCGCGAATACGCGACGGTTAGATCTCTCTCCCCTCCCCATCACCCCACCTCGCGTCACTATTTTCATTGTCTCGTCTTTATATGGGTTCAATTTTATTTAATTTCATTTTAAACTTTTAACAATGTCTGGGCTCTGGCTCTGCCTGTGACCATGTCGGTGCCTGTGACTTGGAATGGTAATTGATAGTGTCGGGCAGAGAGGTGGAGCGGAGTGTGGTGCAGGGATAGAGAGCGGAGGCATGTAGCTCCATATGCGGGCCACTTACAAACCTGGAACTTATTCATAAGTATCTCTGTGTGTAGATTTTGCTTGGTTTTAGTGTCTTGGGAGGTGCAGATCGACGGCACAGAGGTGTGTTACATGGTGTGGTATATTGAGGTGAGGTAGGGAGCAAAAGTATCGATCAAATATACCGATTACCATATTTTCAGTTATGAATCTATGTGTAATGCTGGCCTATAGCCTGTTATTGTAATATATGTACCAATAAACCATAAAAGTACCTTCACCTTAAATTTAACCGTAAATAACCACCATGGTTGGGAAAGCAGTGCGGTGTGGGTGGAGGAAGCAAGCAGGAGTGTTGCAACTACTTCTTGCAACTCGTTGTTCAAATATGTATTGCAAATTGGTTCCAGTTTCCAGGTCTCTCTTCCCCCCTTCCACAATTCCTTGCATCTTTTTTCTTTTTCTACTTCTTCTACATCCTTTTTCCCATACAGATTCCGATTGCAAAGAGATCGTTCGCAAGAGATCAAAAAGGAAAAGAAAAAAGATTTCAATTTGCCAACTCATGTGCCTGGGATATGTATGCATGTGTGTATGTATGTATGCACATATGCAAGTATGTACATGTACATTCGTATTGCCTATCCCCATCCCCATCCCCCCCTAGAGCCACTTTCCGCAACGTTCCACTATTTTTGTAACTGGTTGTGAATTTTTGCATTCCTGAACTTGAATTTGTTCCACGCATTTTCTATTTCCGTTCATTCACCTTGTACGCTTTATGAAAAGAGAAAGAGAGAGAGAGAGAGAACTTTGGAAGAATGGATGGAGAAGCAGAAGACTTGGCTGAGAGGAAGGACGAGAATAGAAGCTTGAATTTATCGCATCGCGTGTAATGGAAAGAACAATGGATTGAGAAGAAGAATATTGGTTGAAATGGTAATAAAACATCGACAGTTCGATGACTTGTTTTGTTTTATTTGGAATTCTTCGCAAGGTTGAGAGTAAAAAGATGAAGGGGGAAGATTATAGCGGAACGCTGTTAACGAATTAAAAAGATCGAATGACGATCTGGATATCTGTAATTAATGTCTATTTATTTTAAGGATATTTTATGTACATACATATGTATATGTACATACATACATAGAAGTACAGCAAGAATAGTTTGATGGTTATGGATTGTATTATGGAAGAAGGAACATTAGTAGTTCGATGACTTGTTAAGATTAATTGATCGAATTGATTCTAATGACATCGATTTTAAAAGTTCACTTGATTTTTCAACTAGTTTACCCACTCCCACTCCCTCTCCCTCACGCACAATCAGAATACGTGCACAGTGGGATAGAGAGAGAGAGAGAGGAACAGAGAAAATGAATTATCGTACTTTTATGTACAAATGTATGTAATGTGCTTTGTGTTACCTGTGGTTCTGTCTCATAGATATAGAGGTTTATTTCATTTCATTTCGTTTCGTTACGATTTTTCTATTATTATTTGTTTGTGTCTCTCTTGTCATTGTGTATGTCTTTCTTTGTGTGTGTGTGTGTGAATGTTATTTTTTAGTTTCGACTTGTTTTCTTTTGTGTAATTTTATTTTCGTGTCCGTGTGTATAGCTGTGTGCTAGTGTGTGTGTATCAAGTTCATAAACTTTTTGTATGCGGCAACGGCAGTAAGAATTGCTTTTTGTTTTTTCTGGAATCAACACAATAAATATGTACATACGTATGTATGTATGTATGTATGTAAGGGGAGTAAAAGAGAAGCAGCGAGTGTGGTTGTCACTGTTCTGTGTGTGTGTGTGTGTGTGTACATACATACATACATACATACATAAGTATGTGGGCATATTTCTTAGTTGTTAACTTTTTATTTAGTTTTCTTTTACGTTTTGTGTTTCCATCCTACTTTAAAGTCAGCCCCATTCCCTCCCCTCGCCATTTTGAGCTCATATCATATTCTGTTTTGTGCACACTTTTTGTTCGTTTCATTATTAATAAATAGTTTTCTTTCATTTCAGTTTACAATCCACTGCCAGGCAATCCAGTCGGGACCATTGGCTCCATCAATCTGTTCTTCTGCGCCACTTGTTGCTCCTCCTCTACTTACCACCCAGACCACGCAGCATCGTGCAGAGAGAGGCGTCTGTCGCGTGAGGGTGACAACTCTGGCATGCAGTTGGCTGGTAGCTGGTCACACTCCAACTCTTCCGTTCGAACAGCTGACGTCGACCCCACCCCCACCAGCAGTATCACCGTTAATCTGAAAAGGAGACGGAGCCGGAACCGGGGCCTGGGACTGGGACTGGGACTGGAGTACATTCACCATGGACGACGAGCTATGTCGTATCTGCATCGGGTCTCACGCGAGCGGCAGTCCCATGCAAATGATTTCAATATTTGGCGAGGACTCGCTCTGGCAGAAGATAACCACACTGGCCGACGTCCAGGTGAGAGCAGACTAGAATTTTCTGTTTATTTTTTGTTTGAACCGAGAGAGCTCGTAAACTTTGTAAATTGAACGATAATGTGAGTGTTAATAAGGGGACAGAGAGTACGAAATGTTTGGATAGACGCCACAAAAATCTATTGTTTATATGTATTTGTTGGTTTGTTTTTTTGTGTTTATTGACTAGGAGAAAATTAAAGAAAACCTAACCAACCTTCCTGTCTATTGTTTTTAACAGTTTATCTTTCGCAACTTATATTTACTTACGTCTATTAAACTGCTTGCGTCCGTTGGCGACCGTTATACTTGTATGGGTATTTTCATTTTTTAGGTTAGGTTGCATTTTTTTTTTTCATAAAACGCTGCTTATTATTTGAAAAAAATTAATGTATTGATTCGAGCTTGATATTAATAAAATTTATGTCGTATATTTAACTCAAGAGCAGAGTAAAATTAGTAAATATCTTGGAAAATGCTATTTAAAGTGCATTTTCAATGGCTATTATCGAAAACATCCATATACATGTATACATACTCGTACATATGAATATATGTTTAAATACTCATCGAATAATCACGTCAAGGATATAAATTTCGGTATATACCTTGCGCTTGGGGTAGAGTTAGAGGCAGAAATGATGTAGTCCTGGTCCCAGCCCCACTGCAGGTAGCCACAAAGTGAGCCCCAAAAATCGCAATTGAATTATCTGCATTAAGGGCATCCATTGTATGTACGTATGTATGTACATATGTATATGTGTACGTGCGTAACTCAAGATTATGTGCAATGAAAATGGCTCACCTTCGTGGAATATAAAAAATCCAAAGAAAACCAAATACTGGGAAGATATTTACCAACTGTTTTTTTTTATTATTCATTCATATTAATTTTCACATGTACCTAAATACATACATACATACATACATACATATGTATGTACATTGATGTGTATATATACACATATATTTTGACATCAGTTTTCATGGCTTGTATTTCTTATGCTCTACTCGACCCTCTCGTTCTCACTCCACCAACATCACATTTTGGTCATTCTTGTTTATTTGTTTCGTTTTGATTTCGGTTTGGATCTGGGGTTGGGTTCGGCTTTGATTTCGTCTTTGCTTATTTTATAGAATTTCCTGTGTTTTTTTTATTATCTATACATGTATGTATGTATGTATGTATGTATGTATATGTATACAATTTTTTCAATCAAATATTTCTCAATTTTTCGTCTTGTGACTTGAAACTGTTTTGCCGCTTATACTAAAGTTTCGTATTTCTTCGTTTCGTTTCGTTTCGTTTCTTTGGCTTCGGCTTTTGTAAAATAATTTACCGTTTGAATTGCTATTTGTGTTGGCTCTTATTTTTCCCCTTCTTCTTCTTCTGCACACACAACACACACACGCGTACAAATGCATGTACATATTTCTTTGGTATTTTGTTTTTGCCTTTGTTGTTTGTATGTATTATTCATATGTTTGGTTTAATTCCAAACATTTTTCTTTTCGAAGAGAGCCATGCCTGCTCCCGTCTTCTCTCGCTCTTCTTGTTCTTCGGCCTCCCCTCTCTTGTTTCCTACTCTGCGTTAGAGTTGACTCCCAGCTTAGACGTTCGTTGGCCCCGTCCATTGGGTGGGGTGGCTTACACGCTAATACACACATGCACTCATACATAGTATGTATGTGCATGTGCTGTTTGGTGTGGTGTGGGGTGGGGTGGGAAGGGAAGGGAATGGGCGTGGAACGTAGTGTCTCCTGTCCCGAATGGGGATTCATTGAAATTTATTTTTCATTCTCATATTTCTGTTTTATTTGTGCAATTTTACACCACTACACTACCGTTATATTTGGTATACGAAAATGTCCTAACGCCTTGCACTCCCCCCACCGATCGGTCTGGCAACGTTCTAGCATTTCGGAAATGGGCTGGCATTCCTTCTTAGAAGATCGGCCGAGGTCTGAGCTGTGAGCCGCTGCACTTTGGAAAGTTTTGATCAGTTGCTTGATTTGTTTTCCATTCCACCTATTTACAGATCACCAAGAACGACACATTGCCGCAGCAGGTCTGCGTGGAGTGCGCCAAGACCGCAATCTCGGCCTGCCTGTTCAAGAAGAAGTGCGAGGATGCGGACAACTTCTACCGCCAGCAACTGCTGCTGAAGAAGATCGACGGCGCGGAGAGGCAGAAGACGGGGGGAGCAGACAACCGAAAAGAGGATGCCGGAGGGGATCGGGCCAAGAGCAGAGGCTGCAGCACTGCCAGCAGCAGTGGCACCGCCAGCGGCAGTGGCAGTGGCAGTGCCACCGGGAGCGGAAGCAGCTCCTCCAGCAGCAGCTCCGACGATGACGAAGAGGAGGACAATGACAACGCAAATGGCAATGACGATGACAATGACAATGACAATGACAATGATAATAATAACAGGAGCGTAGCTGGGGAGGCGGAGACGGGTCTACAGAATGGTCATGGGCATGGCATTAATGGGCACCTGGTCGGAGATCCTAATGACGAGGATGAGGAGCAGGAGCAGGAGGAACAGCAGTTTGACCTGGATGATGGGCAGAGGCCTCTGCTCGATGACGAGCAGCAGGATCAGTCAGGCATTGAACTCAGCAATGGGGTTGGGGTGCTGCTGGGGGATGGGGAAGAGGACTTGGAGGTGATGAACCATGAAGAGTCCCCCGACCACCACGACGATGGCGAGATACCCGTCCACGACGGTCACCCCAAGGAGCCGTTCGACTTCAACTCCATACGCCTGATGCAGGAGTACATGCAGCACCAGATGAACAAGTTTCCCAACGGTGGCGCGGGCTTGCCAGGCCACGACCTAGATCTCGACCACCAGCACGAAGTGGATGAGGACGACGATGACGAGGAGATGACACTGCCACTGATTCCCGAAATCGAGCTGATTACGCCCGGCGATGATTCTATGATCGGCCCAGACGCCGCCGACCACTCGGAGGCCATTGGGGCAGCCAATGAGGCTGGACAGGTAATGCGCGGGCAAGGATTCCAGTGTCCGCACTGCTACCAGACCTTCGACATGAAACAGATCCTTAAGGCGCACATGCAGAGCGTACACGGCGCTCCGGGGCCCGTCTACGAGTGCAGCAATTGCCGCAAGACCTACTTCTACAAGCGGTTCCTGGAGAAGCACATCCGACGCGGTCGCTGCGTCAAGAAGCGGCGCAACCAAACGTAAGTGGCAGCCACGTGCTCTTCGAATTCCGGTAGTAACCTGCCTCTCTGCGTCTCTCTCTGGTTTTAGTCGGCCCATGCAATGTTCGGACTGCCATGTCCTCTTCCCCACGGGCCACCATCTGGGCTGGCACAAGCGCACCGGCTGTCCCTCCAAGGCGGCCAAGATGTGAGTGGTTCCCCAATCGCCTGTGCCACCTGTACTGACCCCCGTTTCTCTTTGTACCCTTGTACCCGCAGGCCCCTGCAGCAGCTCTTTAAGCAGAACATTGTGCAGTTTAACAACTTCCCCAAGCGGGTCCCAGCCACTGGAGGAGGAGGTGGAGGGGGAGGAGGAGCCGGGGCAGGAGCAGGAGCAGGAGCAGGGGCAGGGCCAGCACGTAAGCCCACGGCTCCGGATCTTCACGTGAACAACCGCAAGTGAGTGCCACAGGTTCTCTGACATTACCATTACCTGACTATATTTTGCCGATACCTTTCAGGCTGGGCTTGGTTAATAAGCGGAAGGGGCGGACCCGCATCAAGCTAGACGCCAAGAAGATCGCCCTGGCCAAGCAGCTGATCCTGCGCGAGGCCACCACCACGGTGATCGCCAACGAGCTGAACATCTCGCGCACTTTTGCCTGGCGTCTGCGCAAGAGCCTCGTCAACGGAGTCAGTCTGCACGAGCGTGTGGTGGACCAGGCCGCTGAGGAGCAGCTCCATCAGCACCAGCAGCATGTCCAGGCGCTCCAGCAGCAGGAAGAAGCTGCAGTCGCTGCAGCAGCTGCAATCGCGGCAGCAGCTGAGCGGGAACGGGAGCATCAGCATCTGAGTCTGCCCTATGGCCACCTTGGCCTGGGCCTGATCAAGGAGGAGCGGCAGGATAGCGAGGACGAGGAGCAGCAGCAGCTCCACCCTCAGCATCAGCATCAGCACCAGCACCAGCTCCACAGCTCGCTGGTCTTAGGCGACGAGTGTGGGGCGGATGAGATTGGTGCAGAGGAGACGGCCGGCTACATGGGCGACGAGGATGCCGTGTGCAGCCTGCTCCACAATGGCTACGATATGCGCGCCCAGCTGGAAGACCCCGATCCAGACTCTGATCCCGTCGAGCACGACTCCTACGAGGGCAACGAGAACGAGCGTCATTCCAATGCTGGCGGGGCCAACTCTGTCTTGCTCCCGCCTCCGCCGTTGGCCCTGGCTCCAGTCCAGGTGCCAGTGCATGTGCCCTCGCGACCCACTGTCGAGGTCTACAAGCGTCTGCTGGCCGAGTCGCCACATTTTCCACACATCGTCAACGCCCAGCAGTTGCAGCTACACCAGCAGCAACAGCATCGGGAGCAGCTACAGCATCAGCAGAAGCCAGCCCACAATGGAGCAATGCCGTTGCTCACCCGCTATCCGCCCGCCGTCATGTAAGTCACAATTTTGCATCTGGAGCACAAGATGTGAAGAGCACGCAGAAAGAAGGGGCAGAAGAAATCATATAATGGAAGAGAAGTAGAAGAAAAGCAAGCATCCCGAGTAGTAGAAACGGATAGATTTCATCTGAAGCGTCTCTTGGGTGGCAGCAGAGCCAGCCGTACCTCTGCATCTCTTTAAAAGCAGTTCTAGAAAGCAGTGCATACCAAGCAAGCAGTTAACGCCGAAAAGAGAGACTCGAAGCTCATTAAGTTCATTGCCTTGCCATGCTAGACCGACATACTAGGGTAATGGCTGTGGAGCTTTACGCGAAACGAAATGAGAGTTAGACTGTCGTTACAAGATGGTATGGTATGGACTGCCAAAGATTCTATGACGTCAAATAAATAACAAGGCAAGCAGTGCAATTCCACCAAACTCAGATCAGGGAGTGCAGCTAAATTCCTTTTCAGGATAAGCTGCTGGAGAGAAGCATCTTGTGCCAAAAATGATTATGTTAAGTAGGCACTTCCCTTCAAATTTACCTAAATACAAGCATATCTACATATGCACAACCATATAAGAAGAACCTGCAGAGTAGAGCTGGGTAAAGAGTGTTCAAGAGTAGCTTCAAGAGTGAACCAGTCAGTTGCTCACTTTTAAGTGAGTGAACAACTCACTCACTTTGCTCAGTTGCTCACTTGTTCACTCAGTTGCTCACTCACTTGTTCAGTTGTTCCCTGTTCAAGATTAGTCTGCGATACACAAGACAAAGTTACTTTGCAGATCTTAAACTTGGCCTTTTGGTCGTCCAAATGCTCAAAATGATCCCAAATCGATCTTAATTTGCGTTTAAGAGACATATTTAGTGTTTTGTATTAAAATTTGCGAATTCACAGCAAAGACGAGACGCTATAAGAAAAGTTGCCACACAGTTCATGGATACAATGCCCCCGTGTTGACGATTAAGCCCCTTTTTCCAACAAAATTTAACCGTTAAACAAGTGAACCGAATATATATCTGAACAAGTGAACAACTAAGTGAACAAGTGAGCAAGTGAGAAACTGAACAAAAATATAGTGAACATGTTGAGTTCACTCAGTGAAGTGAAGAGCTTATTTTTGTTCACTCGCTCATGAGCAACGCAACTCTACTGCAGAGCACATAATACATATACTTGTCAGAAGAAATAGAAGAAGATAGTTTTAGGATGCAACTAATTTTCAATGTCTAGTGTAGCTGGTGTGCTAAGGCGACTTTCCCCTTCGAATTTAATTCTAATTATAATTTCCCTCTTCCCGGTGCAGCCATGCCCTCCCCGTGAACCTGTCCCTACGCTCCATGGCCCACATGAACAGCAACGAGAGGTGAGTCCACAGTGCAGTTCCGTGAGGTATTCCCGCTTATAAATCCTTTCTACATCCCTGCAGCAATGGCAGCAACAGCAGCAACACCCCCGTCGCCGTCCTCGCGCCCCATGCAGGCGCGACTGCAACGCCAGCGTCAGCCTCAACTTCAACTTCAACAGCGACAGGGTCGGGATCTGGTTCTGGTTCTGGCTCTGCAAAGAAGCCGCGCAAGCCGAACGTCTTCATCGATGACGAGAAGTACGCCATGGCCAAACTGCTGGTAGCCCAGAATTCCTCGACCATGGAGATAGCCCGAGCGCTCAACGTATCGCAGATGACGGCCTGGAAGGTGCGCGATGCTATACTAAAAGGCGTGCCCCTCTCCTATCGTAACAAGCGCACCGACGGACGCCTTTCAGCGCTCGGCGACGAGTCGCGCGTAGCGGAGCTGCCCTCTGCCAAGGAGCATCAGGCCCAGCAGTTGGCCCAGGAGCAGGAACTACAACAGGCACACCAGCGTCAGCAGGCACTGCAGCAGGCCCAGCAAGAGCGGCAGGAGCGCCAGAAGGGGCTGCAGCAGGAAATGCAGCGGCAACAACAGCAGCAGCAGCTTGAGCAGATGGAGCGCATTAAGCAGCAGCGCCAACGGCAGGAGTTGATCCGCCAGCAACAGCAGCAGCAGCAGCAACAACAACAACAGCAGTTGCGTCATCAGACGACAGCGGACACATCACACTTTCAACAGCAGCAGCAGCGACAGCTTCCACCACCGAAGCTGCCGCTTCCGCGTCGCCGCCTAAAGGCCGCCGAACGGGAGCTACGGGACAAGAATATCACCCGGGAGATACTCGAACTGATCGAGGAGGATAGCAACATCCAGTACTGGAAAGTGTCGGCTCGCCTGGCCGAAAAGGGCATCAACATTTCGCCGTCGTCCGTCTGCCAGAAGCTCAAGTCGATGGGTATTCATCGTCGCTGGAAGCCAGGCGACAAGCCCTCCATGCTGGCCATCAGCCAGATAAAAGCGGCCACAGTGGCAGCGGCGCTGGCAGTCGGAGGAGTAGGAATGGGCGTGGGTGCCAGCAGTGGAGGGAGTGGCGGCCATAACTTTGGCGGAGTCGATGATGGATACGAGCAGCAGCAATTCGATATGGGCGGACCACACTTTCTCAGTGCCTTCACGCGATGAATGAATAGAGAACAGGCGCAGGCCATCACCTGGCACCTCCTGGCATTCTCTGTGCACCGCCCCCGCACCGCCTGGCACAACTGCACCGCGCCCCATAATTTTAGGTATTATAAATCTTGGATAGATCGGCACAATTTGTATTTTTTATAAAGTATTTGGGGGAGGAGGGCAGGAATGCTCTCTGCAACATGAAATTGTATTCAATATGAGATATACATAGTTATACATATGCATATGTATATATGTGCATATGTATATGCATAGGTATAGGTAGAACTAGATATATATACATATGTATATACAAAATATATGCTAAGCATTCCTAGAATGTCGCACACCCACTGATTCACACACAGCCACACTTGTGCACATGGCGTGTTCATTCCAGGGAAACCATTTCCGCGCTTCATGTGTTTTTCCAGGCAGCTTCCTCTTCTACAGAGAGACACACATTTAGTTGTTAGTTTTGATCATATATTATTTATATTCATTGATTGCATGTCCCCCCCGTTTGTGGGAAATGGATTCGAAGATTCGCATTGCTAATTTTGTCCATTCATCAGTGGACTTCGCCTCCGCACGCATGCAGTTTATTCAGTACTGAACTTAAATTTAGTTAAATTAATGTATCAAGCAACTAAACGCAAGTAAACAACAGAAAGCAGAACAGACAGCAGCACAACAGGAAACAGAACAAAGCAAATGAAGCAGAACAAACAGCAGCAAGAGACAAGAGCAGGAGAGTTAATATACATATAAAGCGGAGCATGAGAAAGCTAGCAATATAAGTGCAATTAAAACAAACAAAAACTAACTAAAGATAGGAACACAGATAAATGTATCTTAAAGATAATAGCCAGGGTGACAAGAGGGAAAAAAGGGGGAGGAAGGAAAAGAGGAGAATCCATACAAATTCATTAATTTTGGCTAACCTGAAATAAATCCTTGAGCTCTACTTTTTAAATTTATCAAACCGTATCTAAAACTCGTTCGAAAAAATAGTTTGAAAATCGATCTACTCATAATTTATCGATGATTAATGTGAATTGCAACCCCCATGCGATGGCCATCACTGACTAAAGTCCGCTGCTTGCTGTACGATAGACTTAGCTATGTGTCCTATCTGAGAGACGAAGATAGCATTACGTGGACCAAAAATGTATGAGTTAGTTTGGAGTTTAGTTGATCTACTCTAGATTGTTACATTGCATACATAAGTTGGTTAAAATAATCAGGTTGACCGGCTGGAAGGCTGGAAGTCATCGTTTCGCCACAAACAATGCCCGGTTTTACCGTTTGCAAAAGCCATGCTCTTCTTTTCAATAAGGCAAATTTTCAAGTTTATCCTCTGAAGAATGGCATGCACCCTCCTCTTATTTACGTCAAAACATTGATCAAACAACGCACTGCAGAATATCAGACGTACTAAATACTCGCATGAACTTGAAAAAAGTTTCAGATTGAACAAAAAAGAAAATCAGATCTTAAAAATCTATGCCACTGGCGTCTTCATTTTGTAAAACTCTTTTTTCAAGTGTATGTACATACAATCCATAGACTTCCTCTCAAACGCCTTTCTCCACTTCGGGCACTCCACTTTGTGTGGCTAGAAATTAGAAATTAGAGCAAAAAGGACACCATCTACTTGACCAGTACAAAGTACACAAAGCACTCCTGCAACACACAGTGTAACCAGATCAACTGCACTAGCTGGTGTGAAAATTCGGCATTTCCATGAAACACTTTAATGTAGTGAATTCCGTGGTTTTTATATAACTCCATGGAATAATTGTGATTCCTTTCAAAAGCACCCTTGTTTAATTCTGGATACTGGTCCTGGATCATGTGTAACACCTAAATAAAATACATTCTATATAGCAGTATTCCCTATTGTATTGGAGTTTTCAAATATTTCAATTTGAGTAGAGAACATCATGTAAAACCTGATTTGCAGCAAAGATGAACTTTATTAACGATACGATAACGGTGATTAGGATTTATATAAAATATATATATATTGTTTGGCCTTTTTTAATGAACTAATTGAATATCTACTAGCTCGCAGAGAAGAGTACTCTAAACCTATTGCTGATCATGGTTCCTCTTCCTTTGCCCCCCCCCTATCGAACAAGACATAATAACAATGTTAATATTTATAGCCAATTATTAGTTAAAAGAGTAAAACCACCACAAAAGAACAAAGCAAGACGAGAGTCGTAGAACGAAAGGAGCGTCAGGAGAAAACAGATTATAGCAAAACTCAGATCCTGTATTTATTTACAGCAAAGCTTAAAATTTATATATATTTTAAACATTTTTTGTTACGGAAGAATATGCATTTTGCTGCGATTTATTTTGTACAACATATACGAAAGAAAAAGAGATAGATAGATAGAGAGAGAGAGATAGGAAACTAGAGAAAGGAAGCAACAGAGAGAGAGAGAGAGAGAGAGAGAGAGTGATAGCATTGAAGAGTGGTTCATATATATTTATGTTGACATATTTTTGTAAAATTTGAAACTGTAATTGCTTTTAGCACAGTCATCAGCAATAAATCAATCAATGACTCGATCAAGATCAATGAATGATTCCCTCCCACACACACATGCATGTATACACGCATAGTATTTTATATAGACAGTATGTACTATTTACATATTTACATATATGTGTATATGTCTATTAAAACAACACTACACATAATATCTATTTATGTGCAACTAAATTAATGAATTTTTGTTTTTTTTTTTATTATATATATTTATTAGTGGAAGCTCGTAAAATTATGATTAAAAACAATTATATTGCGTGTTTTTGTTTTGTATAAAATGCAAAAGTGAAAACGTACATACATACATATATGTTAATGATATATACATACATACATAAATATGTATGAATTATATGTATATTTAGAGTCGAGTATATGTAAGGATCCACTGGAAGCATCATCAACAAATAGAACTGACGTGCCTATGTAGCGATTAAATCACACACATACCCCACACCCAACCACACACCCACACCCACCCCCACATACACAAAACCCCCACACCGAAACAAAACTGATGTAATGCATTAATAATCATTCCAAAATGTCATATAAATGAAATGAAACAAAAAACAATATATTTGTATACATGAATCTAGCAGAATATATATGATGAAACATGCCTCCATATATACCTATGTATATTTTTTATTAAATATTCCATTTCAAAAGATTTGCGTTTTGCTTGGACCAAAAATGGTGTCCCCAATGTATTGGCGCAACCGCAGCATCCCATCCACCGCCCACCAAACAGCAGTCGGCCAGTCAGAGAGGCGGCCACACAGTAAATAAAGTTCTACCAAATAAAAGGATGAAAACGGGCATGAATGTATTGGAGGTAGGGTGTTCTCAAAAAGATAGTTTGGAGGGAAAATAGAGAAATTTGAGTGCCAAATTGTATGTGCAAATAGAATCCGTAGATTGATTTTTTTTCACCTCTCCACAGATTTTACAGAAATTTTAGCTCAAAATCAATAAAAGAGGGGTTTTTGTAGACGATAATTTCAGAGCTTTATATAATATATTTCTGGACTTAGAACCATTATCTCTTCGATTAATTATCACAAAAAAAATATCTTAAGTCTGCCAGACTTTGACCACTCTTCAAAGCCCATATAAGCCCCTCGACAGATACAAAACTTAATTGAATTTCAGTCTGCACGTGAAATTTGATTGCAACTGAAGCGAAATTAAGTACGGAAATGGCGCGATCAAATATAAATATGCTCCTCTTATGGTGAACTTTTTCCCTGGCAACGATGATGATGCATTTAAATTGAAGCTGAGATGATGATGGAGTCGAAACAAAAGCCTCGAACTGTCGGACAGGTGGCAGGTCCATGGATCCCGCCGCTGGCCTCTAGCGTAAAGGACGGGGCACTGACAGGCAGCAGCAGCTCCCATATTATGAGCACATTTTAAGTATACAAATTCTCGCATTCTCATATGTTTATGACATAATGACAGCCGACCGAGCGACCGTTCATTCCGGAGCAGCAGGAGGAATCCCACATATTAAACATCCGCCATGTATGCGCACTGGCGATGCGAGTGGAGGGGAGTTCCAGGAGCAGATCCCAGACAGGAGCTGACGCTGTAGCTGGGATGCCGCTGAGAAACTTTCTGACAGCTATGAGTGGGATTCAAATGTAATCAACAATTTTTAAACTCCACCACACACCGCCCATTGCTTCAGGTTTATTACACCCGAAACCCTAAGAGTCCACACAGCCCGAGATACGTTTACGTGCGTGGCCAGGAGCCCAGGACCATTCATAGTGTCAGACTTTTTCTTGGGGCTTAGTCGCATAAAAATTCAACCTCAGGGCACGAGCATCAAAATCACTTTCTGATTTCCATCATTTCTCCCGGTCTCCGGTCTCAGTCTTATTCTGCATAATAAAATAATAATTTATGTCCGCGTCCACCATTCGCCGACGCGTCGTTTCGGAGTGGCAGCTCCACTGAGGAACTGTTTCAGCTCACTGCAGTTGAGCGTGTGCAAGTTGTGTAGGGCGAATTGAAAAGTATTCAGGATGTTCGAGAGCTACTCAAGAGATCTGTCTAATCAGGCCCCTCAGATTGTAAGCCCCTCGGATTGGACCACGGAATGTTCTTAATTGACAAATAAGTGGTTGAATTGGTTGCATGGCAATGCTCGACATGCACTATGAAGAAATATACAGACGTATGTACATTAGAGTCGGCCGAAAGTGTTAATTTTTTTTTTAAAAGGTCAGGCTAAAAAAGGTTAATGTTTGACTATTGTACATTGACGTCAAAATTCTGTTTTACCCATGCACAGTGGGCGCTCCCAACGCCGGGGGGGGGAGGGCGTTGCAGGGGGGGGGGGGGGGGGGGAGCGGGGGGGGGGGGGGGGGCCCGCCAGCAAAATTTTCAAAGTGTGAAACTTTGAAAGTTTCCTTAAAACAGAACCATACTAGACTGACAAATAGTTTCTGCTTGTTAATTTGGGATAACTTGCGGTACATTATCGGTTTTTGTTTTTGAGCATAGGTTCGTAAACTAAACCAATTCCCAAATTTTGGCTCGTTCTAACATTTTTTATGAAAAAACAAAACTTTGATAATATCTGAAAAAAACCATGTCCGACCGACAATTGGATTTTTATACCCGTACTCAAAAAAGAGTTAAGGGGTATATTAGATTTGTGGTAAAAATGGATGTGTGTAACGCAGAGAAGGAAACGTTTCCGACCCCATAAAGTATATATGTATATTCTTGATCAGCATCAATAGCCGAGTCGATATAGCCGTGTCTGTCTGTCCGTCTATCTGTCTGTCTGTCTGTCTTTCTGTCCGTCCGTCTTGTTGAGCGCCTAGATCTCAGAGACTATAAGAGCTATGGCAACCAAATTTGGTTTCCGGGCTCATGTGATATCACACTGCTACAAATGTATTTCAAAATTTCGCCCCGCCCCCACAAAGGACGAAAATCTTTGTCACATTTTTAAATATACGATAAAACTAAAAACGCAGTATCGTAGAGAATGCCCATATCTACCAGATTGCCGAATCTGAATTAGATCGGATCATAAATATAGCCAGAATGAAGAAATTGATTTTTATTTGTTTCCCCCGCCCCCTCCTGCCAACGACCAAGCTACTCATTTTCCTTCTCGCTCGCACACTCGCCGCGTTCAGTGCGCGAGCGACCCCTAGCGGAGGAGATGTAGAATATACATAATATATGTAGATATATGTAGATAATAGATGCAGCAAAATAATTTAATATGTAAAATTTTTTTTAATTTTAAAATTCTAAAAAATTATAAGCTCAAAAATGTATATACTGACTGAGTACGGGTATAAGTAGAGTCGCGTCCCCAGAAGCGACTCACACGTTCCTTCTCGTTTCACTTTAATTCCTTATACTTTTTTTTTTATATAGGCTCCTAATTTAAACATATACCCCAAACCTTTAAGTGCGCGAGGGTCAAACGATAACCGATTTTCAAATATTGCTTAAGTTCAATATAATTGGGACTTTCGGCTCATTCTAGTGTACATATACTATTGATCCTA